CATGTGTTTAAGAAGAAATGAAGACAAATTACTGCTGAGGAAGATGAAGTTCAAAGAGAGAGGGAAGCACTGGAGACTGGGTGTTGCTATGGAGACACGTGTGTGTGTTTACCTGGTGCAGCTGTACTTGTGGGGACGTCTTACTGGTACTCACTGAGTGAGAGGACATTCAGAGGTTTATATTTAGTTTGGAGTAAGCATTAGAATTAGGTTCAGACTAAAGTCAGGGTAAAAATTAAGATTACAAAAATATGAGTAACATTGGGGAATTTTAGGAATGCTCACAGGACACAGATGCTTCAGGGCCTGATGAAGCAGAATTATTTTTATTTTTTAACATTAGGTTATAGAACAGGAGTGATCTGTGTCTGGTTGACCCTGATGACCCTGACCCTTATGGCTGATCAGGTCTTATTTCTGATGTACTGCAGGGTGATAGTTAAAATAAAAACGTCAACTACTGTAAAGTAATGTAGTATCTGTTTCAACTGAAATACAGGGACAAATCAAAATCCTCCTTTTTAAGGATCATGTGAAGAAAACGCAGCTCATCTCTCAGGGGAGAAACGCAGCATGACATTGACATCGCTGACATTAACTCCTGCTTGCATAAATATTGTTCAAACGTCACATGAGCCAGCTTCCAACTGCACGTGCTGTGCGCACGGCATTGCCAAAGAGAGAGGAGGCGCTGGAGAGTGCGCATGATCCATCGTGTAGAGAGAGAGAGAGAGCTTTTCAAGTTAGACTCTAAAACTGTTCTAATGATGTGACAGACTGATTACGATTTAATTGCAGGGTTTTTTAATGTAAAGATAACTGAAGAGATTTAAAGTAGTCCATGCTCCAGACAGAGGCAGAGCAGCTTTGTTCGACTGTTTCAGCACTGGACAGTTCTCTGCTCACAGCCTCAGTTGTGACACGCGTGTCAGGAACACAGCATCCTTCAGATCATCTGCTGAAGGTGGAGGAACACAGCAGACGGAGAACATGGCAGACTCCCCAAAGCCTCCCCCTAACTAGTGCTCCCTCAGGCCGAGCTTCGAGAGATGACCATCCCGGAGTTCCTGCTGGAAGTGTCCATTGTCATCGTAGCTGTCGTCTCCTTGTTGGGCAACTTGTCGGTGCTGCTATGCTTCACCCAGAGCGCAGAGCTGAGATCCCACACTCCCGGACTCTTCATGCTGAACCTCTGCTTCTCCAATGTACTCCTCGCTGTCGTCAACATGCCCTCCACTTTTCTCAGTGTGGCCGAAAGCGCAAAGCCTTTTGGGCAACTTTTCTGTCAGACTGTGAGTTTCGCTGAGACTTTTCTCACAACCAACGCCATGTTGAGCATGGCCGCTCTGAGCATGGACCGCTGGGTGGCCGTGGTGTTTCCTCTCAGTTACTCCAGCAAGATGCGCTACAGGGACGCTCTCCTGATCGTCGCGTACTCGTGGATGCACTCCCTGAGCTTTTCTCTGACCCAGCTGCTGATGGACTGGGGCGGATACAGCCACACGTACGCCTCGTGTACTGTTCACCTG